TTGAATAAAAAATAAATAATAAAGAATCCCATCCTTTTTTTAATAGTACAGGTTTTCATGATGTGAAAGTTTCACTAATTGATTGAACTTATTTATAATGACACTTTTACAAAACATTAATTAAAAATAATACAATTACCAAAACAGATTTTACTTTCAATTTTAGGAGATGTTTATTTGATATAATTTCTACAGAATATGTATTTTTTGTATATATTTATATGATATCTACATGCAAGACTAATGTACATATTTTTTTAACTCAACTATTATCCTTAGGGCACTTTAGTCCCAGAATAAAATCATTTTTCAGTTCAATATTTTAAAGGAGTTAATTTATACATACCTTCAAATCAGAGTGGAAATTCCAAAGCTGTAAATATACAGTGGTCTGATATACAGAGATAAAATTTATATTATTTACATGTTTTCAAGAACTTTCCTATTATAATAAAAAATCATAAATACATAAATGTTTAAGTTACTTAATGTTTAGTTGGTTGTTACCAACTGAATAGGAGAGGGAAACTGACTAGTGTGGCTCAGCCTTTGTAATGCCAACCAGAGAATCTTATAGGCACGATCCTTCAGCACCCATTTCTTTTTATTTCAATTCTCTTGACTCGAGGAAATGTAGTTGTAACACAGAGATTACCTATTATGTGGTATAGCTGAATATCATCTCTATCCTTTATTTCAAAAGAGTATTAAATTAATTAGAAAACATATTTCTATAAGATTTTAGCTGGATGAAAACACAATAGTGGTTTAAAGTGGAAAGGTGATTTCAGCAGAACATTATAAACATAATCAATAGTTATTCTTTTTATTTCTTTTTTACATATTGTATATATTTTTCTTATCGTACCAAACTTTAGTTTAATGGATAATTCATCCTTAAAGCAGCTATTTTTTTTAACTCATACTTGTCAGAGATACCAACAACCAGTGAGTGTGTTGTAAGGAAGTAGAATGGAATAAGATATTGGTAGGTATGAGGGAGAGGAGTGCCTAGCGGCATCCCTTTCTATCTTGATTTTAATATTTATAGTTAATGGAGGAAATCTCTCATCCAGCATCTTTTCAGCATCCTATGGGTGTTATCATCAGGCATGTTGGTTGTGGCCGTGCCTTAAATCAGCGAGTTGGTATGTCCATATAAGTTAATGTGAAATCTTTTGTAGTGTATTCCTATCTGGCAGGGATGCCCATCCCCCCTCTCTCCTCCTCCAAGATCGATGGTGCAAGAACCTCCCTTCCCTCCTCTCTCAAGATATTTTATTGCTTACCTTTTCTAAGAAACAGAGAAAAGAAAAGTAGAATTGGCAAAATTGTAGGTCATATAGAATTACACTGCAGTCTGCTCCTTGTTTTCCTCTCAACCCTTATTCTGAAAATGCATAACTCAGTTGAAATGTGCCACCCTCAAAAATTTTGATGGCACAACTTGTGCCATAAAACCCATCTGGATACCCGTGCTATCAGGTCATTAACTATTAACCGGCATCTGCAGGTCTTTATGTAAAGTAATATTGCAAACATACCCGGGAACTTTGGTTACAGTCCTGAAAGTTCTTGATTGAAAAATTTGTAGTTTATTTTTTTGACTGCCCCCTATCTTTGTGAAGCATAGATTGAAATGGGCTTAAGTAAGTGTATGCATTCAGTTTCTGTCTAAGTTTTAATTTTGGACATGGTGAAAGGAGTGAGTAAAGTAGTCATAGGCTTAGGTTTAGTGCTTTTGTTTTGTTCTTGGTATATGGGTCCATATCTATGGGTCATTCTTCTCTCAAATTTCGTTCAGAGATAATGTACTTTATCTTTTTGAGGAATTGGAACATTGTTGAGGTAAATAAGAGGGCAAGTTTGACGTTGTAGAGTAAAAGTAATATGTTGTGATTTGACTTGGTTGAGTCGAATTTTTCACAGTTGTACCAATCATGAAATATTATAAGATGATGTAAAATCTTTGGAATGTTTAGTGGATTTTGATGTCTTGTTAATATTGGTGTATCATCCGCATAAGTCACTGGCAGAGTTTTGAAACTGTATTGAATATCATGCATGTAAATTATATACTGACTTAATGGTAGAAAGTTCTGTGCCTTGGCCTAAATTTTAATTCATCGCAAAACAAGATGTATTACTAAGTTTGTTTAATGTAACTCTATTTTTTCTATGCAATTTATTTTCCAATACTTTTCAACTTATGCAATTAATATTGAATGAAGTATAAGGATCTAATGTACTTGTAAAATAGTAGATATATAAAAAAAAATGTTCTTGATACTGGATGCTTATCAATTACCTAATGATTTTGATTTTTAAAACCAAACATATAAAAGTTACAGAGTGCTATATTTTAAATTTCTACCACATTATATCAGATTTAGTCTGTTAGTACAAGCTATTAGTTATTATTGCTTATTATTTTTTTATATTTTATTTATTATAACTGAAAATTTAAATTGATAATAACAATTATATTCTCAATAGTTTTTGTCCTCTGCTGGAGCCCATATATTGTCTTTGACCTTCTTCAAGTATACGGCTACATCCCTAGAACTCAGACCAACATAGCAGTCGCTACACTGATCCAGAGCCTGGCCCCACTGAACTCAGCAGCCAACCCTCTCATCTACTGTTTGTTTAGTGCCTCAAGGACTAATAGGTGAGCCTCAACTCGAGCCTACCTCTAAGAGGACTAAAAGTGGTTGTGTTAATTTATATCTTTTAATTGATTATTATATATTTTATTAAATCTATGTACATATATTTCCAAACTATAAATGAATTTTGGCTCATAATATTACAATCCTGTTGTAGAATAGTTTAAATTATTGATCAGATCTTTATGAGCTTACTGTTGAAAATAAAAAAAAAATAATTGTTTTAGATTGTGACTGTCTAAAAATTATTCTTGAAATGTAGAGATCAGTTCCAAAAGGCACACTTTCCCAAATATTAGTCTTTTTTTCAAACTTAAACATAAAATTATTCCCTTTAAATTTAAAGGAGTTGTCTTATGTTCAGGCTTGAAATTACCAACTAAATATTTAAAAACTGGCATAAAAACTTTCTGAAACTTATAACTCAATTTAAAAAAAATAATGACATCTTATACTATAACTTTCGGAACTGACATCCTCAGATAAGGATAAATATATTATACATATTATAATGTGATATAAACTCAGTATTGATCTTAATTGTTGTTATGTGCTTTAAATAAAATCTGATTGTATTGTATGTGATAATTGTACTATGGTTTATTTCTATCTAAATGTACTACTCCATTTTTAAGAAATATTATAATATATTTCGATAAATTAAATGTAGAATTGTGTAAGCTTTTCTAATTCTATGAACAAATTCAATGTTTGTTCGTGTTTATTCTTGATGTAAAATAATTATTCCTTATTGTCAATCTTTATAGTTGTAATTATAATTACAATAGCTTTAACTGTCTATGTATTTCTATCTAATATATATTATATGATTGTGTGTATCTGGATGTAATGTTAATTCATTGTGCTGTAATTAATTGTTATTTCTCTTTCTAGGTAATATTTATTTTCCAAATAATCAATGTTACATACCATTAAATTTCAAATGTTTCCATCAAATTATTGTGAAAATTGTAATATACTTTTTTGTTTTTTTAATTCTCTTTAAATTTATTCTCCTCTGTTTAAAAAAAAATCATGATCTAAAAACATTATATCACTTGCAGGTCAGTTATCAGGTTAGAAAACCAAACAAACTAAAATTTTTCATTTACACTGTTAAGCTTCTCTTAAACATTACTCAAGGTTTAGTTTTAAATTGTACTCACCACATTAAAGGAAATTATGGTTTCACGAGCTATTAAAATGAGGGTAAATTGAGACATTTAATCACAGGAAAAGATAAACAGGTTTTTAATTCTAAAAAGTGTTAATTTTTTATTTGCCTATTTTCATTTAATCCTCCCCATCAATAGTATTCAAATTCTATCACTACTTTCAGTCATAATAATTAAATTAAAAGTTATTTTTGCCTACTTATGACCAGCTTTTTAAAATTATGACATAGTAGTACATATTTAACTTAATGTATTTTAAATGCTTACCATTAACTGAGTTCTCACTATGTTGGTTAATTTCAATTCTCTAAGTTCTTTTCAAGTAGATAATATTATGGTTGCTTCAGTAAATTTCATTAATAGAACAACTTCCAAAAAACATATTTTTTTCTGGTTCAATTGACGATACCTTTTAAGCCTTTAACCTTTAAACCCCTAGCAGATTCAGGAATTAATTTTAAAGGGGAGCTTCAACCCGAAAGCCTTTATATATATATATATAAAACGAAAATTACTTTGCAAGAAAAAGAAAGAAACCAATTATATGAAATGGTGTTTAAATGCTTCTTGAAGTCCTATTAAATGTAATTAAATGAATAATAATATTTTTAGAGATAATTTCTTTGTATTTTTTTCATAAGACATGGTTATATTTTCCCATTTTGGAGGAGAGGGGGCTTCAGCCCTATAATCCTCTCCTCTTCCCTTCTCTCCCTCTCCATAGATCCGCCTGTGCATTAAACTAACCAAACTTAGATTAAAGGTGGAACACCAGAAATACCGAGACACATCGTATGCTGAAGAGAGAGACAAAATATTTTTTTTTAAAAAGTTTAAATTTTACCTTCGGTCAGAGTGGAACTGGTTTTCACTGAAGGATGTGATACATGAAAGACATATCTTGTTACTAATCTTTTTTGTAGAGATTCTTTTGAAATCAATTTATCCGAGTGCTCATAAAGCCACTTCATGAGGTTCTTTATGTGCTAACATTGCTTTCTGAAAATACTGATTTAGTTATTGATTATAACCAAACAGTTCATAATAATCATAAACCAAACAGTTCTAAAAGCTGAGGGAATTTCCAGTTTCGGATCCATATTTTAATAATTTGGGCTTGACTTTGTTTCATGTATGTAAAGGATAAGAAAAAAAATACAAAATACTTTTTATTATTTACAATTAATAACATTACATAATTAAACCAGAATTATCTCTCTAATCACAGATTGACATAAGCTTTAAGTAATTTAATAATAAACATATAAAAAACATCTTTACACACAAATAACTTAAATACTTCACTCCTCTTGTATTTTATTAGTCTCTCAAACATGAATGTGAAGTATAATGCAAGGAACCTTTGTTTCAAAATCAATTTGGAACATGAACCATTACATGGTGTAAAGTTTGCTTACACATTTTTTCAATTTGAGCATCAGAAGGACTAGAAATAAGTGCAGTGATTCCAGTTTTTTCACCACCACTAAACAGAATCAGCTCTTCTTTTCCATAGTGATTTATCAGATCTGTTACAGTTTCAAATACCTACAACGAATTTGAATGTTTTCAAATTATAAGTAAAAAGTTAATTGGAGATCAAATTATCTATAATTTAAACTTAAGAAAAATCTTACTCTTTCATTCTGTTTCTTTGTTCCCAGTGCAATTTTTTTATCTTCTCTTTTCCTAATAGGAATATTGTAAGGTCTGTTTCGATAGAACAGTGTTAGTGTAAGAGGATGTTTGGCTGATTTTCTCACAATGAAGCAACCATCACCACCTTAAACAAACCAACTTCGAATAAGAATATCATATAGAAAATATCTTTAAAAAAATATATATTATAAAAAAGATACAAAAGCATACACAAAACATATGTATATATAAAAACATGTACACGCAGTGCCGGCCTTTGGTACTTCAAGCTCTCAGCCAATTACATGATGAGCTTCCCTTCTCTTTTCCATTATTATTAGTAATGAAGGCCACAGCCCATTTCAATAAAGAAGTAAGTTAAACAAGTCAGCAACTTCTGGAATTTCAAACCCGGAATGACTCCTGGATAGAAATATGGATAAAAATAAAGTTAAAATCCCGTACTGTCGACAGACAAGGGAAGGAGACAGAAATACATGCTAGAACTATAAATCACCAACAGTTTCAGTCCTCATGTTGATAACATAGTGTAGAGCAAAAAAGTCAGTAGCTAGAAGTAAATCTAGGTATTATAATATAATAACTATAATATATTCTTTAATTTTAAATCTCAGATAAAAATATAATTAAATCTATTTTAACCTACTTTTTAGTTGCACTTTTCAGAATTTTTCTCTAGGTTAAAATCTATCGCAAATACTTGTGAATTTAATTATAATTATATCTCTCTTAACAGTGGCATAAAAAGTTTTGAAGTTGCCCTCCTCGCCTCAATTTAATACAGTGCACTCAAACATTCCTGCTACTTCCTTTTCCCATAATAATTTTATATAAAAAGTTGTGTCAGTATCCATCATTGTAATGAAAGAAAACCCATTAGAAATAAAGCAGTATTCAATTAATATTTGAATCTTATGAATCCTTGTTAGCATCGCCCAGCTTCAACATATGTATAGATAAAATGCTATGCTTGTAAGATTTTAAAAAACATGATGTTATTATTATCCACAATAATATGTCAGACATATACATTAATGAAGTGAAACTAGAGAAGATAAGACTGATGACAAAAACGTAAGGAAAATTGGAAATTAACAGATGTCTTGATTCAGTCAGTTAATCAACATACTGTTCAAGATTTGAAAGCTATAATAAAATTAAGAAGATTTACTCCCCTTATAAAATTGTTATGATGATACTGTAAAAATGATACTTTGAGCTACTTATTAGCTATTTCAACACACCAAAAAATATTTAAATACTTATTGCTTCTTTAAATAATTAGAACCCCTTCCTGATATAATCCATTACACGAAAAAAGGGCATAAGAGCAAACTATGTAACAGGAATTACTTTAATATTATAAATAGACTTTTTATAAAGATGTTTTTGTTTTGTTAATAAATAAATAAATAAAGAGGTTTGAAAATGTTTTTAATTTTAAGTAACTAGACTTAATTTTAATATATACCTGTTTGTTATATACATCGAAAAACGATACAAAATATTTATTTACTTGCTTGATTTAAATAATATGAATAAATTCATGGAAAGTTGTAAATATTTTTATTTCTTATATAAGTTGAATTAATTTGAATATTTATGTGTTGGTTTCATATAAATTATAATAGGACATAATAAAAATGCAGTTTTCTCAAAACAAGTAGATATTAATTTTATAAGCACTTTTTCAAGTCAAATTTGATTTTTATTGATAAAATTTTGACAGTAATATGCATTAACAAACTAACTTAGTTAGTAGGAAGGAATAAGTAATAATTTTATTTTTCATATTTATTCAATAATATGAAATAACATAGATACCTTATTAAGAAAAAGCCATGTTTACCAGATATTGAAAAAGAAGATCTATCTAGCATGAATAGAACTCATAAGAAATAAAATAGCTTCAGAATCACTGAGGAATATGTCATTAAAAAATGTAATGAGATTGGCAATCAAAGAATAAATTTTGATACAGTTACCTTTGAAACCACTAATTTTCTCAGGTCATTTTCAAAATTGTTTGTAAATACTTTTAATCCTTTTAAACATATTGGTTTTTAAAAGCAGAAATTACATCACGCTTCTTATACACTTAAAGAAGTGCACAGAAGCCAAATTAAATTTTTTATAATTAAAAAAGTTTGGTGGTAAAAAATTGCGTCAAAAATCAATGAATTGTACGAACCTGTTGAAACCATTTCTTCTGCTGTTCTCCTGTCAACATCTAAATACCATTTCTTGTCATTAAGCCCATCATCTGAAAAACATTTCTTATTATTATTTCTTTTGTTGGAAAGATTTTTGTTATACAGGTGAAGTTAGCAAACATAAAATCATTTTAATTGTTGTATATTTTATCAATTTTTTGTAAAATTTATTAAAAGCTTTGGGAAACATTTTCATACCATCAACATATTCATAATTCGTAAGTCCACTTTGTTAGTTGTGCTCTCGTTGCCATATTATAAAATTTGTCTATTACTTTATTGAAGTTAAACATATTAAGGGGTTACATACATCTTGACTAAAAAATTTGTTTTTACATAACATTTTATATTTTATTATTTTTTGTTTTTGTTTTATTGTTTTAAAAATATATATGTGTGTTTGTGTGTGCACGTGCGCACACATATATTGTACATGTATGTATGCAATTTTTCTGTGTATACATACATATATTTTTAAATACTATTAAAACAACAGGTGGGGAGAGGATTTTCGGGCTGAACAACTTGATTTAATTGCTATATTTTTTATGCAAAATAATAGTTGTTGTGAATAAAAAATATATATAATTTATTAATTGGTCATTTTTTTTTTTCTTGCTCCAGTAATGTCATCATTAACTAATATGCAGAAATTGTAGCTGATTTAAAAAAAAACGTCTTTCAAAAACATGTTATTTGTCAACTAAACTAATGGATAGTAATTAATTAAAAATAACTTTAATTGCTATTTCAATAATCTGAAATCAAATTATAGTGTATTCTTTTTTTTTTTTTATGACTGCGAGTTGATTTGTCAAAAATATAACAATTAGATTCATTCAAATGTTTCAGTTTCTAATAATTTTTTTTTCCCTATTACATAAAAATAATGGTTACTACTCCAAGGTTAATGTTATGTAATCATGTTTGAATTTATTATAATATTTGTTTTTAAGACAAATATTTTAATCAATACCTATAATTTTACCAACTAGAATTGATCATGAAGGTTCATAACTCAAAAAATTGTCTAAGCAAATTAAGTTATTCATTTAGCCTTTTGAGGATAACAGACTATTAAATTGAATGAAGGAGTTGTGTTACAATGTCGGATAACTATAGTTAAATACCTTATTAAACTAAACTAGATAGTATATCCTGTCCCTTTTCAGAATACTAAGTAACTAATTTGTTCACTTTTACAATGTATTATTTTTCCCCTAATCACAATAAGCTGATCATATTTTTTTAAGCATTTGTTCTCATATAAATTAAAAATAAATATGTTCTTTAACCAAATAACTCATGACCTCAGAAGTTATTATTTTTCTATTATCACCATTAAAATACACAAGCAGTTGGCATATCAACAATTTTTTTTTTTATTACCAATATTGGACTGGTCACAGAATGTTTCTTCTAAGGGAGTATTATCTGGACCAACATCGTCATATCTAGAAATACACCTTCTCAGTCTGTACAAACAACGTCTTTTAACCAGCACTGCCCAGTCAGCCACATCAGTCCATAGCCTTCGAGCGAGGTTTAGGACCAGCGCTCTACTCACCCGAAGGTAGAAGCACATTCACTGCAGTAAATTTAGTACTTTCACTGTCCTTGCAGTCATAACGAGTTAGGTTTACATTTTGATTATTTTTGCAAGAGACACATTTCTTAAGAATCCGCAGTAATTACTTAACTGTTCACATATTGGTTGTTGAATATTTGTCAATTTCCTGAAAAAGAAAAAGTTGTTTGTTGTTATATTGTGTGAGTGAAAAATCTTGAAATTAGTGATATATTAGGGTATTAGGATATTATACAAAGTTTAAATAAGCTAGATTACTTGTAGATATCATCAAAATTTACTTTATGAAAAATTATTAGTACGGGAACTATTGTCTATTGGAGCCCAGAGAAGAGGACACTCACAAAGAAGCCCGACAGAAAACGGTCACCATTGACCAGAAGCCACTGAAGATATAAACTTGAGTACTGTTTTACTAGCAGTAGTGTGTTATTATGCAGTCATCCCATTACTGCAAATACTCTTAAAGCCAAATAGGCTAGGTAGGGTAGCAAATAAATAGAAAATAAGTTTAATCAAGTTGATTCCCTGGCAATGCAGAATGCAACTTGGATTGAAAGGTATCAATTTTATTGAAGTATTGAAGAAACGTTTCTCGCCAATCTGGTATTTCATAGGAAATCAAGCGAAACTATCTGGTATCTGGAAGCATAAGTTGGTCTTATTCTTCTTCGGGCTCCAATGATAAAGGGAAGCTTTCCTCATTTACCAACTGAGGAAACTCCTCACCAGTAAGGAAGTAAAAATTCCCTTAAAGTAAACTAAAAATTCCGTTGGTTCTCATCATTGTAGCCCATACATAATCCACCATATTTTTATGCAGTGGAGATCGTGATCACACCTCACTTGTCTTCGGAATACCACAAGTGTGGCATTGAAGATTTATGTCTTAGTCTAGGCTGTGTAGCTTGGCTCAAAAACCTCCAAACCTCAAGAGGAATAGTAAAACACAATAGTCCAATGGGACCCATGGTCGTGCTGGTCAAGCATGGTAGAGGGATGCCCATTTTAGCATTCTCGAACCTAGCGACGTTGTACAATGGTGCAAAACACTTTATTTTCGGGAAAAAAATGTTGCTAACCTTAGAAATTTGACTTTAAAACCCAAACAGAAATCGTTGTTTACGTATTTTCCTATTCCGAATCGGGTTAAACAAAAATTAAATAGATATCTTTATGCCTTTTGTTATTTGGGGAAAATTGTAATTTAAATTTTGGTAAATTCTGAATAAAAATTAATTTGATAATTCAAGTAAATTATTGGGCAAAAATGTTGAAGATAAGAAAGATTGAAATAAAACTGACTTAATAAATGTTTAAAGACATAAATTTATAATAATTACAGAATATGCAACTAAAGGTTCAAGCATAAATTTTTTTTTTTTTTTTTAAATCGATATTAATCTTCAAAAGAGTATCTTAATTTTAAAATTGTTAATATTATTGTGTTTTATGATATTTTCTTTTAATTATCCACTGAAAATTATTATTACCTATACAAATAAAAATAGTTTTAAGCTCTGTTGAGAATAGTGGTCTTACCTTATTATTCCCATATTTATATAACTTCATTTTTTATTTTATTTTTTTAAACCTATAACATTTCTATAAAATTTAGATTGTGGACTAAAGCGATTGAGGAGAGGATAGTGGAAGGTTTAACCTTTCCCAATAATTTTAAAACGTTACACACTTACAAGATTTGAGAACCAATTTTAAACTGTAAAAATTAAGGTTAAAAATTTTACTGAAATAGTTACTAAAATTTAAAACAAAATTCTAAATAAATTACCTAGTAGTCTAAGAAAATTAAAATTTACTCATAAAACGTTTTTGAATTCGATACACACTAGACCACTGAGACAGAATTGGAAAATTTCAAATTTTTTAATCGTTGTTCAAATTGTATAGCAATCATCTTTTTGATTGATTAAATCATGAAAGATTTTTATTTGTTACAGAATGAAATACATTTTTTTTCTATGAAATTGCATTAGAAAAGATTTCTAGCTCATCCAAACCTAACATAACACTTGTGAAAAATTTGGAATGAACTCGAGTACGCCTAATAACGACTGCTATTGTCTCCAATAGATCTTCTCTTATTCATATAAATGTGAATGAAGTACTAACTGTCAAGAAAAAAGTATATAAATAATGTTAATTCAGGTGAAAAGGTGATTGTGAAATTGATGGAAGGTGATAATGAAAAAGTGATTGTGAAAAGGTGATTGATCTGTAATAGATCTTCTCCTATTCATATAAATGTGAATAAAGTACTAACTGTCAAGAAAAAGTATGTTAAAAATGTTAATTTAGGTGAAAAGGTGATTGATTATTAATTAATCATCTCAAATTATTTAGAGTTACGAAAAAAAAAATGCTGAATATAATTTTGAAAGAATTTTATAATTGAATAGAGGAGAAAAAGAAAAAAATGCTTATTCAGTTCGAAAATTAATCTCCTGAAATATTAGTCATAAGATAAATGTATAATATATCGTTGGAAAGCAAATTTTAGAAAAAAACAATATTTAATAAAGAAAGTTTTAGGAAATAACGGAGAGTATCGAAAAAATTATAAATAATAATTTTTGAAAACTAATATTACTTAACGTTAATCACATGTTTTCAAGGAAATTAAATGAAATTTATTAACTAAATGTAAACTTTTTAAATATTTTTAAGTTTGAAAAAGTATTTAAAATTCACCTAATTAAGGCAATACCATTGTTAAAAATATTATTTCGTCGTATTTGTATGAAAAAATAAGTGATATATCAAATCATTTCATGAATGTATAAAGCATATGTTTATAATCATAAATATATTTACTGTATTTTAATAATGCTAGATCTGATTTTATATTTAAATAATTAGGTAACCATCCGAATCCTCTCGTCTCTAACCTTGCTTCCTCTTCTATTCCTGATAACCCTCCGAGGCGTCTGAAAAGAAGATGGCCTCGAGATCTGTTATTGTAAATACATTTTGTTTTTATAGTGCTACCAGTGGGTAGTTTCTCAACAAGTCATTTCATGTTATTATTTTCTGTTATCAAATTTACTTAATGTACTTAATTTTTTAATACGGTTGTAAATATCATGAATAAATAAAAAAAAAAAATAGTAATATATAATTAGGTATCAACGTCCGTTTTATCGAAAAATCGTCATATAACTTTAAAAAAAATTAAATTAGTGAATAATTTGATGAATTTTCTCTTTACGAAATCCCAAAATTATAGTTTCTTTCTCTAAAGTACCTTCAATTTATTTTATTATAAATAATAACTATTTCTCATTGTTAGGAGTTATGAGAAAATATAACTTTGAAAAGAATTTGATAATTGAATATAGGAGAAAAAAAAATACATGGATAAGCTCGGTTAAAAATGCAATTGAAAATTTTATAATAGCCCAACATGGTCAGAAAATAATTCCTATTCAAAGTTGAGCGGTAAGTGAAAGTTGTCTGTTGCGCGTACCGGATTTTTTTTCATAGAATTTACGTTTTGAAATCTACTATGAATGGAATCAGTCCCAGCTTTTAGATTAGTGTAGCTTTCGATTTTAACATATTTATAACAATGTAAGCTATAAGACTGTACCAAATATATATTTTTAAATATTTATTGGTCCACTAATGGAACATTTCTAAAACAAGATCAATAACTTCTCGCTTATCAAGACCTGAAAACATTTATTCAAAATATCTGTAAATACCGTTAATTTTTTTCTAAAATCGCTGTAAAGTACTCATAATTGTGTGTATTGAAGGGCTAAATAGGGAGAACTGGAGAAAATAGTTATTGTATTACGTTCTAGGGATGTTAAAGAAAGATAATATAGTACAAAAAGTGTGATTGGAATATTTCCATTTTAAGTTTCTTTTTTTTTTTTTTTTTGAGCTTCTGAACTACTGTTCATTGGTTCGAATCCGGCCTGGGCAGAGTTCACTTTTAATTCGTGGCGGACCCACAAAACGATATATATCTTCCCACTCCAAACCCCCTCCTCTATGTTAGAAATAGTGGGAAAAGAGTAATCCAATTAAATAAAAATTTAAAAAAAGTTCTAGAGAATCCACGACGCTTGTAGAGATTGGACAGTGGGGAAGTATTTTCTTCTAATGGTACTAACTTTCGGTGTCGTCCCACCCACCGCCGTCTCATTCGTCAATTGTTCCCTCCTTTTTTCATCCATTTGTTGGGTTTTAAACAATCCTCATCCGGAGATTCTTCGGCAGTCCTGTTGAGCCTTCTCGTTTGTAAGCATAATCGATCATTTCTTCTCATAGGTTTTTTTACCCAATCTGTCAGATGAACCTGACTATATATAGCATTTTTTTTTTTAAATATAATATTGGATCTAGAATTGTTAAAATACAATAAATGTATTTAAGGTTATAAAAATATGTTTCACCCCTCCTTGAAATATCTTTATATTTCACTTCTTCTATCACACAAGTACAATAAAATAGTTTTTGTTAACAATATCATTGTCTTGATTCGGTGGATTTTATAGCCATTTTTTGTAAACTTAAAAATAATTTTAAATGTTTCCATTTAGTAAGAACATTTCATTTAATTTCCTTGAAAACACGTGGTTTCTGTTAAATAATATTAGTTTTCAGAAATAATTATCTATAATTTTTTGTGACTATCCATTATCTTCTACAACTTTGTATGTTGGATATTGTTTTCCCTCAGATTTCCAACGATATCTAATATGTATACATCCAGTCTCTTATTTCTGGAAATTCATTTTCAACCTAAAAGAACATTTTTACTTTTATTCTTTTATAGCCAATTGACAAATTCTTTCATACTTTATATTCAGCAATTTTTTTTTATTTTTAATGATGATAAGAGTCAGTTAATTTTTTTAAATAAACCAAATTTAAGATACTTTAGAGGAAGACATATTGAACAATTAAGCCCTGTAAGGTGACATCAATGTGGATAAGACCTATCTGATCTTAAAGAATACTTAATATTACACTCATATACCGAGTTTAATCAAAATCACCATTTTTGAGAAAATCGTAAAAATGTGTGTCATCGTTGATATAAAGTTCCGTTTCCAGATAGGCGATTCCTAGGAAAAATTTGCCGTAGCATCTCGCGGTATACCTATCTTAAATATG